ATTATTAAACCCTGAGATTAAAAGTGTTTACATAATTGTGAGTATATAGTATTATTAAACCCTGAGATTAAAAGTGTTTAGACAATTGTAAGTATATAGTATTTATCTTGTTTGATATTGTAGTTTTGATAAAGAATAGACATTATAAGTTTAAATTCTACTGCCTCACAAAGCAAATGATATTACACATTATCTAAAAACCCTGTCATCCCCAAACTTGAATCTCTGACCAAGAGAAGCTTTCGCATCTTCTGTTCAAAATATTTTCCTTACAAGAGGTTTCCTAGTCAAATCCATTAGTTGAAATAACCAGCGTATCTTTATGAACCAAGACAGTAACTGAGCAGGATAAAGAAATATCTTTCCTTGTGCTATATATTAGAGTTACCTTTTCTATGATATATTTTCATGAATCAAAGAATACGTATCGGATGGAAACCTAACGTTGTTTGTGTCTTCAGGAGTGGCGGACATATATGGTTAGATATAATGATGAATTAGGTACAAATTCAGATACAAACAGTAAAACTTTCAGTGTATCTTAATGTTGGATGCAAATCTAAGTTGAGAGATGTTTACACTAAAACAAAATGTTGTTATTTTTTATCATCCTTAAAAAACAATTAAGTTAATCTACTGACTTAAAGGTATAAGAACTAGAAAGTACAAAAACAGGACCCAAAATGTTTTTTTTTCTTGGTTATGACGAACTTATGAATATGCGAGAGTCTTATTTCTGGTACCACGACGTTTTTAAAACTTGAGACGTACTTTATGCGACAAGAAGCACAAAATAAGTACTGGAAGAGCCTTTTCGTTTTAACAATGAAGTTACATTTTTGTACAGAAAAAAAATTAAATATCTTAATGCCTTTTTTAACGTTCCGTAACTATTAAGATCACATTAAATTGATCTCAAACTAATACGTTAATTTGTGACACAATAATTATGATCACGACTTACAATCGTGCGATCATTAAAGGTTTTGTATTAAGTAACATTCTCTCTAAGCTTTAACCGCAGAGCAAAAAAGGCGTACAAGGCTGCCAGGCAAGGCGGTAAAGTCTACACCACAATGGCGTCGCATAACCCTCAGTTCTATCAACACGTAGCCTAGGAGCATGCGCAGTTCACTCGTGCTAGTAGTTGGAGGAAGGTTCTCATCAGCACTGTGGGGAATGTTTATTAAACCAGCCTCGCGAAAGCAACAGTTTCGGAGAAACTAAGAAACGTACTTGCGCGAATACGGTGTCGTTAAGAAAAAAAGAGAACGTGAGCGCGATTTAAAGAAAAATAAATGTGTAGAATGAAATAACTTAGCGAGAATTTTTCCTCCCAATCTTCTTAAAACTGTGTATTCGCGTTTTCCTCTGATTCTTGTTTAGTTATTTCGAGCGTCACCTGCTAATTTGAATATGTAAATAACTATTTGGTAAAAGTTGGCGAATTTTAAATTTCTCTTACCGATGTTAATACTTGTGCTCATCAACAGGATTGCCATGATTTTGATTTTTACAAGTTTGACAAAAAATGTGTTTGTACATAACATCTGTACCAGATAGGTCAAGAAGTCATTCAGGACAATAACTTAACCTCATTTTATCGTAATTGCATATAGCAAGCTGCAACCTATAAACTTTCAGTGTATTATCTGAACTGTTAAATTCTTTAAGTATACTTTTGACCTTCAGTTTCTGGTAGTCTTCCAAAGAAACGGCTTGAATAAAATTCGTCGAATATTTGTGAAAAAATTGCTATGGAAAGATTGAACTGTAATATCCAGGTGTTTGGAAATTCTGGTACATGTTACAAATACAATACATGGATTTACTCAAATAAATGTTGTTGTTTTTTTTTCTTTTTCTGTAAAAACGGATTTCAAATAGAACTTGTTTCTCCAAATGAATGAACATAGGTTTCATTGATTTTGTCCGAACGTTCAATCAGGTCGAGAAGAGTACAAGTCATCGGGGGGAGGGAGGGGGCATAAATGTGGGCGTTACCTTGTACGTGTGAAGACGAAATACCAGGAAGATTGAATCGTTTAGCCAAATTGCTTCCGAGCTTAATTATGTTAATAATAACAGTTCTTCAGGCAACATTCATAGCTGTAATTATGTTAATAATAACAATTCTTCAGGCAACATTCATAGCTGTAATTATGTTAATAATAACAGTTCTTCAGGCAACATTCATAGCTGTAATTATGTTAATAATAACAGTTCTTCAGGCAACATTCATAGCTGCTTTTGAGAAAACAAACATAATGAGACACAGTAAACTCCTTCTCCTGACGACGTCACGATTTACAAAATGTACTTGTGAGGTTAATAATTACACGTCGCGATAACTTTGTAATATCAAGAAAAGTAATACACAGTTCATCGACTGTATGTATTCAATGTAACTATGTATTTGACGGTAACTTGAATCATATAACTTCGTTTAATATATCGATGTCAAATACTTGTGTGAAAATAAAGGGCGTGAAGTTTTACGTTGATTTAAGAATGTTATTTCAAAATCAGTTTCACTTATCCCTTATTCATTTCGGATTTAAATATTATCGTGTTTCTTAATTTTTTACATGAATATCGCGGAATGTTACAAAACCAAGAGATGAGTTGTAAGTATGGAATATTACATATTGAATCTTAATTCATATGATGTTAATGTTCCTCGGTATGTTTAAAAGGTATCTTCCATATAGAGGATTGGTTAACGTACAACATTGTTAATAAGGCATAAAATAATTTCTAAATAGAATTACACTTGAGAATAACCTGTCTTATGAAGAGAAACAGTCAGTACCCAGTGAAAATTATTTAATCTCTCAACGTTTCACCTTACGGCGCTATCGAGAGGTAGACACCCTAGAGAACACAAAAACCAAGTCAACCTATTGATAAAGTTCTGATGTGAAACGTTGAGGAATTAAAGAATTTTTCTCTGGGTTCTGGCTGTTTTTTTTCCCCATAAAACAGTGTTACACTCCGGTGTACACTACGCTACTCCGGTGTACACTACGCTACCCGAATAAGGATAGCTTGTCGACACAGATCTAAGTCACGGTTATTATAATGCGAACTGTGTGTATCTTCATTATTTCAACAATTTTTATTAACAATATTAATACATAAAAATGTTTATATTTTAATCTACATGCCAGATAATATTACTTGTATTTGTAAAGAAATAGAAACAATGAATAAGAGATACTTCATACAGATATGACCAACAAATATTGTTTGAAAACTATACATCCGATTTTTTAAGCTAAAAGACCAAAACCAATAAGAAAATCTTGAAATACGGTTATTTGTACCGTAACGCTGATTTACACCATTTCATATTTGAGGAATTATCTTAGGAAGTTGATAAAACACTTCCTGTGTAATGAAACGCCTTAAGACAAACATTTCTTGGTTAAACGAAACTTACACTAAACAACCAGTATCTTTGAGTTTGATATAATAAACATTTTAATATACCTCAGAAGGTTGCCAGTTTTGATGAAGATCCTACAGAATATTGACACAAGTTCCAAAATTTTTCAGTTCCGTGTATCAAGACATCAGAGGATATTGTAACTTAATACCAGAAAGAGAGACTTTTACAAATCTAAATAACCAAAAATTGTAAGTTAGGGATTATAAAAATTAACATGCATAGTTTAAACAATCAGGTCGTCTCGATATGTGAATTAAGAAATTCATATAAGTAACAGATAACATAAAATGATGTATAAAAAATACAGCTGGTTAACTTTCTAAGTTGGTATGTATGTATGGTTCGCTTTACAGATATGTTTGTGTGCAAAACCCTGGCGAAAAGAAAGGACAGTGTTTTTTCAAAAAACGTAACTTTTGGCACAAAAATAAAATTACGGTCATCATCTTCTTAACTCTGAGTAAACAAGAACTTAATTCTGAGTAAACAAGAACTTAGCTCTGAGTAAACAAGAACTTAATTCTGAGTAAACAAGAACTTAACTCTTGGTAAACAAGAACTTAATTCTGAGTAAACAAGAACTTAGCTCTGAGTAAACAAGAACTTAACTCTGTGTAAACAAGAACTTAACTCTGGGTAAACACGAACTTAACTCTTAGTAAACAAGAACTTAATTCTGAGTAAACAAGAACTTAACTCTGGGTTAACAAGAACTTAACTCTTAGTAAACAAGAACTTAACTCTGAGTAAACAGGAAATCATTGATGCTGATTTTCGTTTCGTTTGTCAACCACATTCATTCTTTGATATTACATGCAAACTTCTTTCGTTTAAACTGTCTTCTAAAACAGTTTCCTGGCCAAAGTTTTCCTTATTCTATTCAAGTTTCCAAATTACAGTGAATTAATACTATTCTATAAGTATAAACGAAACCTGAAAAATTAGTGTTAACTGTTTCTCTGTACGAGAATACTTTAATGGCAAATCGACGTTTACTAGAGAAAGTAGAACAACTTACGATCGTTGTAACAAAGCCGCCAGAGCCCGGATATGGTATACTTGGAAAGGAATTCTGTATCCCCGGTACCGTTGTACAACGGGTTCTGTATGAGTTCTTCGGTATGGATCCACGCGTTAGAACACAGCATGATTCCTTGGGCAACTAAGGACATAACGGCGGTCAGGGGGGTCAAAACACGGAGTAGACGCACAGTGAACCAGGGCATGGCGGCTGTG